CCAGATTGCCATTTTTCTGGCAAGGCCGACACGTCCATTTTGGCTTTGATTGTATTGTAATACGGCCATTTTAATGTCTATTCGATTTCCTCATCCATACAACCCAAGGTAATATTATTCTTGATGCACGTGGAATCCAGAATTTTAATTGCGCTTCGATGGCAGACGGCCATGGTTTCGAAATCCGAAAGCACATCGACTCTGTCTGCCACACGCGTAGCCGACCATCATGGGCACGGGCCGCAAGCATCAGCCGGCGTCGCGGACGCCCATCGTCTACTCTGCATGCATCCTCCTCGTCTTCCTCCTCAACTTGTACTACTTTGGCTACGCTGGCAGCGCTAGCCCGCGCCTCAAGCAGCAGGCCGGTGATGCGCCCTCCGTCGCGCTCGCGGCCACGACAACTGCGTCGCAGTGCTGGTTTGACGGGCCCATTGGCCAGCGCGTGCCTACGGAAGACCTCGAGCACTTGAGCCTCCTCCACTCGGCGTGCATGGAAGAGTCGGACGACATCATCACGTGGTACTACGGGTCGCCCGTCAAGGGGCCGTACCCGACGCGGCTCAAGCGCGACGATCCGCGCGTGCTCGACGAGCTCCGCCGCTGCCCGGATATTGACATCTTTTTGCCCAACGGCCTTCGTGGCGCGGGCTACTGCGAAGACGGCGGCGCATACACCAAGTGTAATGGCCTCTCCTCCCTTGCCATCCCATACTGATGTTGATGTCGCATGTGTAGATGGCCACTCGCGCCTCCTGCCGCAATGGGTGTTGGACGACGAGTACTTTGACGCGCAGCGCAACCGTAAGGTGACGTACCACGACCTGTGCCCGCGGACGCCGATCATCTTCTTCAACCACTACTGGCCGTCTCAGCCGTGGCCCAAGCACAAGCCCATGTACTTGATGCCCAACATTGAGATGGGCCAGCTCAAGGCGCCCGACTACTGGAGCGCGGACGTGATCATTTGCAAGTCGCGCGACTGCCACCACCGCGTCACCAAGTGGCTCGAGCAGGAAGGCAATCCGCGTGGCACCGCCGTCTTCTACACGCGGCACACGACCGCCGACATTGCGGGCCATACGTCGCGCAAGCTCGGCCCTGGCGGCGTCAAGCCCAAGGACTATAGCAAGAACATTCGATTCACACACACGGCGGGCGGCAGCGTGAGCAAGGGCACGGACCAGGTCATCGAGTGCTGGCTGTCGCGGCCCGACTTGCCGCCGCTCGACCTCTTTATGAGCCCGGGGCTGTACAACCTCGGGTTTGGCGACAAGTTTGGGGCGCAAATTGCAGCGGCTTCCAACATGAACTTTCACCACACGGGCCTCGACGAGGTGTCGTTCGGGAAGCTGATGGCCGAGGCCGGCTTCTTCCTCTGCGCGAGTACGTGGGAGGGGTATGGCCACTACATCAACCAGGCGCGCGCGGCCGGCGGCGTCATCATCACAACGAACGGCCCGCCGATGAACGAGCTCATCGTGCCGCCGGTCAGTGGCGTGTACGTCGAGACGACCGCTCGCTTCCACCCGCATCAGATTCTGGGCGGCGAGTTTGACGGCGAGCACGGCCTCCGCGACGTGACGGGGCTCAAGGCCGACCACACCAAGGAAGCGCTCTGTGACGCGGTCGACTACGTACTGAGTTTGCCCGAGGCCGACCGCAAGGCGCTCGCGCGTGGCGCCGAGCAGGCGTACCACGACGACACCAAGTTCTTTGCGGCGGCGATGCGCGATCTCCGCGCGTTTGCCCGTGCGCACTTGCACTCGAGCATGACGGCGGCCGAGGTGGCGTCGTCCAAGACGTGGCGGAACATTGCGGCCGACCAGTTCCCGTGCGTTAGCAACGACAACTAGGCGATAGAGACATAATGGCGAGCCTAGTAGCCTCTGCCTAATACACGCCAAGTTTCGTGTATGAGCCACTGAGGTACTATGTCGACTCGCACCAACGACCGGTCTCGGCTCTGGGATCTGATACGGGACGTCGGCAATACCAGAAATCTTGGTCGTACACGGCGGCAAAGCACACGCAGTGACGATGACGTTGCTGTTCTTCATCGTCGGGCCGGCTTGAATTCGACTGGCAGCTCGCCAGGCGACGTCGCCCGATGTCTTGTGTGAGGCTTAGGAGCCCTTCCTCGACACCGCCCGACAGAGACGACTCCAATGCGCCGACTGTGCTTCGAGCCGCAACGAGCCAAGCGATCGATGAAGGACGCAGTGGCCCACCCCATGTGACGGTGTCTGCGTGGAGTGGTGACCTCGCGTTAGGCCATGAGCAGGCGATCGACGCCACCACTCGATCATCAACAAATATGAAAACAACTCGAGTCGTCCTTTGAACCCTACCCCTCTGCAACTATGGAGCGAAGTAGTTCACAGACGTTATTAGTTGGCAAAACGAATAAACTTGGTGCGGTCATCGTTCCACGCGCCACGTTTGGTCTTGGCCGCCGACTCTTTTTCCTTGCTGTACGTCACGTTCACAAGGCCTTGCTCGACGAGCTCGAGGACCTTGGTCTTGAGCTCAATCGCCTGCAACTGCATCGTGAACGTCTCGGGGAACCGGTACGAGAGCCAGAGGTACACGTCAATGATCTTGGCCTTGATCTCGACATCCCGGAGCGCGAGTTCGTTCTTGGGCGCAAACTACACGAGGAGGAATTCACTTTTCAAAATCCAACAACACAAAGGATACCCGCGGGAGGAAGATATCGAGGGGCACTTCGCGGCCTTCGCTGTGCGCCATGACATAGTCGGTAAAGATCTTGCGCGAGAGCGGGTTGCGGAGGTTCACGGGCGCCATGCAAAACGTAAACCGCTCCTGCAAGTCCATCTTCAAGTCGACGAGGAGCGCCGCCGCCTGCTTGATGTCGGCAAACTTGCACATAAAGTAGGCACCGTCGAGGCGCGCGAGCGACACATACTTGTCCTACCATACACATGAGCCTTCTTGACTCGAGGCATCACATACGAGGAGCTGGCCGAGATCGGTCGTCTCGGGCATCTGCTTGGCAAACTCGACCATTTGCTCGGACGTCGGAAAGAGTCCTGCAGCCGTGAGCGCCGATGGCGCTTCATGGTACGCGCCCTGGACGAACGAAAGGTCGTTGGGCGCGAGCGTCGTGGCGAGGCCGTGGCTGTAGTCACTGCCCGAGCGTCCGGCGCGGCCGGCAATTTGCTTGGTCTATCCAGTTCTCATGTGAGACTATTGCAATCGTGCGAGATGGACGGCGCAGTGTACCAAGGACGAGCTAATATCGACCATGTCGGCGCCGTCAAACTTGAGGACACTGTCAAACACAATGCGGCGGATGTTGAGGTTGAGCCCCATCCCGATCGCATCCGACGCCACGAGCACGTCGTAGCCTAGTGGGAGGATCTATGTTTTGTATCAAGTTGGTATCAAGGGCCGCGTACCGTTGTCGGGTTCGTTGAACAAGCGCGCTTGCTGCGACCGTGTCTCGGGCGGCAGCTGGCCGTAGATGATACAGCAGCGGAGCCCCGTGGCCTTTTCGATCTCGTGTTTGATCTGGAACACGCGGCGGCGCGAGAAGCCGACGACGCAGTCGCCCTTGCGGATCTTGGCGTACGAACCGAGCGCCGACTTTTCGATCGAGAGCGGGCTCCGGCGCTCGTACGTCTTGAGCTCAAAGTCGTCGCCGGTCGTTTGAGCAAACTTGCGCACGAGGTCGACCGCTTCCATGGAGCCGCACACGTGAATCTCCTTGGCTTGCAGGCACGAGAGCGCGCTAATAGCAGCATTTTTCACATTAGTAAAAGCCGCCACAGCGAGGATCGAAGTGCGTACCGGGTCCACGCCCAGCCGCGCTCTGGGTCGCCAATCATTTGAATCTCGTCAATGACGGCCACGTCGTACGTCTGGCCGGCGCTGCACATCTCGACGGTACACGCCACGTGCGTCGCCATGGGCACTTCGCGCTTCTCTTCGCCCGTCACGAGCGACGTGTAGACGCCGGCCATGTTAAGCGTCTCGTAAATCTCGAGCGCGAGAAGGCGCAGCGGGCCGCAGTAGAGACCGCCGCCGTCCTCGGCCATCTTGAGCCGCTGGAGAGCTTCGTACGTCTTGCCGCTGTTGGTCGGGCCGCCGTGGTAGATGATCTTGCGCTGGAGCGATCGCGCTTTTGGGAACCACGTGTGCGGCAGCCGGAGATCCGTGAGCTCCTGCAGCGACGCAATGCTCTCGGTGCTGAGCTCGTTCACAAAGCCGTTCATGCGCGCAAACGTAAGGAAGAGCGGGTAAAAGTGGAGCGGCCCCGTGTTGCTCTTGTCGCGAATGTCCTACATTGCGACTTTGCACCGACCGACAAGACGTAGAGTGGCGTACCGAGAGGAACGCAAGCATCTCTTCGTTCGAGTGAAAGTGCGTCGACGGGTTGCTCAGCAACGAGCGGCGAAACTGCGCGGTCGCCGGCGCCCACTCGGCCGGGCTCAACCCCGCAGAGAGTGCCATCGACTTGACTTCGAAGCTGCGCCCAAAGCTCTTGAGGCGGCGCTCGAGGTACTTGCGGTCCGAAGACTCCCACGCCTCAAGGCCTAGCAGCCACAAGGCGTATAAGAGATCGTTCGAAGCGTCGAAGCGAGCCTACTCGGCGTGGCCGACGTCGAGAACGCATGCGTCCACGCTGGCAGGACCGAGCGCGATCGCAGCGCTGCATGCGGAAGGCCATGGACAGCTGGCAGCGCGGAGCGTTGCATGGCGAGCAGCGGCGCCGCATGCGTCAGCGACCGGCGGGCGACGCGGAGCGTGTGGCGGAACATGGCGTCGCTTCTGCTGCGCAACCAACAATTGGCATCGCGAGCGCTCGTGAATCCCGTATCCGGATGCAACGACGCATCTCCTCGGTGATTGGGAGAGAGCATCCGGATATACGAGGCCACTCAACTCAATTGCCTGTGCGTTGAGTTTCGACGATGCTAAGTTCGAAGTTTGAAGTTCGAAGTTTGGGCGTAGAAAGTACGATCTTCCATTTTCGGGCAGAGTTGAGAAAGATCGATGCGCCCGACAGCAGCGGTGGTCGGCGCCATGGCCGTCAGCGCGTCCCGCCACATGAAGCGCACGAAGCTCAATGCGCGCCAGCTGCAGGAAGAGCTTGTTTTGCGCAACGTCAACCCGTTTGGCGTCGTCTTCGCCGAGGGAAGTGAGCGCGAGGCCGATACACCGACGGGCGCCTACTGCGCGACCGGCGACCTCGGCGCGCTCGAGTACTGGGAGACCATCGTGCAAGAGAAGGATGTCTTCTTTTTTTGCAAGGCGCGCAACGTGAGCCAGTGGGCGCCGCCTTGCAGGTACCTCGAGGCCGCCGTGCCGCGCCACGACCCGGATGACGAAGACATGACGCTGGTGTTTCCGCTTGCCTATGAGGAGCTCGACGCGTACCGCCCCGAGACACCGCCCGAGGACGAGCCGCCCGCCGTTGTTGAGCCGTCCGAGCCTGTGACGGTCGACTTGGCAACCAAGCTCGCGCTCATGGCCGTCTCGGACCTCGAGTGGGCGTACTTGCATCCGCTCTTCCAGTTCAAGGGCCGCCTCGATGGCGTTTGGGGCATCACCCAGCGTACGCGCTACGCCCGTGCGCCCTACACGCTCCAAGACGGTGCGCAGCAGGAGCACACGCCGAGCGAAGTCGACGCCATGTTTGCGTCCATGGCTCGGAGCCTCGTCATCGCCGAACACAACATTGAAGTGAGCGCCCAGGAGCACTTCGACATGCCAAAGATTTACACGGTCGAGGACATCAACCTCGAGCAGCGGCAGATCTTTGCGACCGCGTGGGCCGACCTCGGGTACGCTTCCTCTCTGTAGCATTCGGTGGCTCAGCCGACAGCCTGCGATAGTGGCCTCGCTCTCGCGCGTGGCGACAGCACGACCGCCATGAACTGCTACCGCCGGTCCCTCTTCTGGTTTGAGGACTTCACCGCGTCGTATGTCAAGGCGGCGGAGCTCTTGACGTCGCTCGCGTACACGGACGACAGCTGCGACGTGCTGGCGGCCCTGCCCCGCGACCAAGCGACACCGATTGTCGAGCTCGTGCCCGATCTGGTCGCGCTCTTTCCGCACTGCAAGCACCTCACGATGCCCTGGCTGTCGCAGATGGTACGCCTGGGCCTCCGCTACATTGTCGCGATTCTGGTTGGGACCGGCGTTCTGTACGGTCTCGCCTACGTCTGCATTTTGCGCCGGTGCGACGCAGCGCCAGAGACGTCGATCGACGCACCAGCAAGCGCTTGCCGCAAGCGCACCAAGCACATCAAGAAGAAATCAACGTAACTCTAAAGCTAGCCAAGCCATCACGAACGAGTAGGAGCGTTGCGGCTCGACGGTTGGGGATCGACGGCGATGGCCTGGAGGCGCCGCCCGCATGGGTAGAGTCCTGGCGTTTCTCTTGCTCGCTACCTCACGCAGCTGACAATGATGTGCAAGTGTCACCTGGCAGTGCATATGACGTGGCACGGCGTCCGGGCTCGGAGCTAAATGCGACTGCAAGTGCCACATGACCGGACTGCAATCCATAGAGCTGTTGTCGTGTGCATGTTTCTCGAATTCTAGTTCTGGTGCGGACGACTAGATCTGGTGTTGGAGCGCAACCAGTCGAGGGTGCTGGTTGCTGCGTGGTCGGATCGGCGATTCTGAGCGCACATCCCCCTCGCGTCTGGTTCGAAGAAAAGAAATCCACCAATCACGGGCGGTCTTCGTCCGAGTATTGACCAATCGTTGGCGTCAACGCCCGGAAAAGATCGAAGGCTGTACTTTTCGATATCTTGCGCGCCCCACGTTGGACCTGATGCAAGCCGCGCCCGTTGTCTCGGTGCCAACGCCAGCGCCGCCGTCGCCTGCCGACCCGCAGATCAGCGTGCGCGAGTTCGAGCTGCCCGAGCAGGACCAGGGCTGGATGCCCAAGCCGGCGATGCTGCACTCGGGCAAGTCGCGCGCGTGCGCCGTGTGCTTTGCGCCGCTGCAGTACTCCAATATGGGCAGCTGGGACGAGTACTTGAAGAGCGAGCTGTACCTCAAGGACCTCCAGCGCAACTTGCTCCAAGACACGTTTGTACGCGGCCTCATTTGCGGCGACAACTACTTTGGCGACCTCCCGACCGAGCACCGCATGAACCCGGCACGGCGCGCCAAGTGCCGCCAGAGCGTCATGGACCACGCGCACCGGACGAGCGCCGGCCGCCTCGACGACGACAAGTGTCTCGTGCGCACGCTCGAAGGCCTCCTCCTCGACGCGCTACCGACATCCTTCTTTACGTACGTGCTCGAGCGTCGGTTTGCTGTCATGTTTCACAGCGCATCCATCGTTGCCAACATGATGCAGTCGGACCGCGTCCAGCGACGCGAGCGCGCGCGCGCCGAGGCCTCGCCGCACGTCGAGCTGCACCACGTGGCCATCCGCGCGCTCTCGACGCTCCTCGGGTCGTTCGACTATCGCCACGAGAATGCGCTCGGCCCGTTCGTCGAGATGGTGCGCCTTCTGCGCAACTTCCCGCCGCTCTCGCTCTTTTCGTACTGGAGCCCCGAAGAAAAGCCACCGGAGGAAGACGTGGCGCTGACGAAAGACTGCGTCGACGCGTCGTCGTCATCGGCGCTGCACCCGCCGTCCCTGCTGTTGGATCCAAGCGACGCTGCGTATTGGCTCACGCCGCCGCGCTCGGGCACGGTGCTGCTCACGATCTCGCTCTCGCAGCCGACGACCATCTCGTCGATACTGGTGACGTGGCACGGCAGTAGCCAGCCCAGTACGTTTGCGCTGCAGAGCGCGACGACCGCGGCGCCGGCCTTTGCTACCGTCGCCGAGTGGACGCACAAGCCGGGCTCGCCGCTGCCAACGACCTTGCTGTTTCCGCCGCTGCTTCAGTGCACAGCCATTCGCCTCGTCTTCTCGGGCGTCCCGACGACCAACAAGGAGGGTACGTACGGCCTCTCGTACGTGCGCTTGCTGCGGCCAAGAGATGACATTGCGTCGCCGCAAATCATCATGCACGACCTCGAGCGCTGGCTTGTCGAGGCCTCTCGCGTGGAGCCGAGTACGTCGGACGTGGTCATTGAAGCGTTTGGCGGTCTCCACGCGTGGGCATTAGCGACCGGATCGCTCACGGCCAGCGTCCGGTACGTCGAGATGCTCTTGACGCTGCTTCGCACGGCCCATGCCCATTTGGAGAGCTACCTCCTCGCGCAAGGCTGCGCGTTCTACGAGCAGCTGGCACTGCACCACGAAACCGAGCGCGTCCGCGTCTCGCAAGCTACGCCGTCGCACGAGTCCCGGAAGGTCCGCGCCGGGTTTGAAGCGACGCTCTGCTCGGCGGGCACGTCGGTCGAGGACGGCGGGCAGTCGGTGCGCACGCGTGAGACAAGCTACCAGCACGCGCTCGTGAACGCGCCGATCGCTTCGGGCAAAGCGAGTTGGAAGTTTCGGTTGGACAACGACACTGCCGACGACGAGATGACGTGCTTTGGCGCGGCGATCTTGCCCGTGACCGTGAGCGGCTACGACTCGTCGCCGAGCCTCTGGATGCTCCGCGGCTACAACGGCAATTTGTATGCGCGTGGGCACAAGCTGAGTCGGTCGATCGGCAAGGTGCACCCGGGCGACACGGTCCAGATCGACGTCGACATGACGGCGGGCACGATGGCGTACAGCATCAACGGCACCGACTTTGGCGTCGTCTTTACCGATCTGAGCGGCCACGAGGTGTACCCGGCCGTGAGTTTCTACGGCTCGGGCAAGGTCATTTCGCTTTTGAGCTTGCACAAGTGGGGCGAGACGACGCGCGCGACCAAGAGTGCCGGCGCCGACCCCGTGTACCTCTCGACGTTGAGCGAATACGAGTTTAGCGTCGGCCACGGGCGGTTTGGCCGGGGCAATGCGCTTGGGTATCCTGGCGAGAGCGCGACTGAGGGCGGCCAAGCGCCGACCACGATCAGCGTAGGCGGCGAGCACCGGCAACGGTCGCTCTCGCTGCACCCGCCGGCGCGCGGCGAGGCGTTTGCGACGTACGACCTCCAAGGCGGCTACGCGAGCATCGAAGGCGCGGTGAGCATCAACGACGACGTCGGCGCCGACGTGCTGGCACAGCGAGGGATTTCCGTCGTGTTTTCGATTGTCGGCGACACCAAAGTGCTCTGGAAGTCACGGCCCGTGACGTCGCCGTCGTCACTCGAGCCCTTCCACGTCGACATTCGGTTCGTGCGCATGCTCGAGCTGCGCATCAGCTGCAGCGGCTCCAACCACGGAGCTCATGCGATCTGGGTCGACCCGTTCGTGATGACGGTCGACGACTGGGTGTGCCACCACTGCGAGTTTAACAACAAGGGCGGACAAGGGCGGTGCGCCATCTGCCGCGTCGGGACGCGCGCCGACGCATCCTCGCCGTCATCGTCGTCACATGCGCCAGCGTCGGACAAAGATGACGATGACGTGTTGACGCTGGTGACAACGCGTGACGCGCTCAAAGCCGCCGGCGTATATGGCGTCGACGAGATTGCGACTGCGATCCTGAGCAAGCTGCATGGGCTGAGCCAGACGCTAACGTGTACGCCGAGCTACCACGTGCAGTTCGAAGAAGCGTACTGTCTCCAGCCCCATGCGACGACGCTGGACGTGCTCTTGGCGCAACTCACCAGGACGTTGTCGGCGCTGCCAACGCTGTGCGACCGGCCGTTAGCTTTGGCGAGCCACCGCGCGTGGCTCTACATTGAGCTTATTGGCGCTCAGCTCGCGAATATGGAGACGTACGCACTGCCATCGGATGCGATTGCGCCGTCGCTCTTGACGTCGATCCGCACGACACTCGAGAGTGTCGCCAGCGTGCATTTGAGCAACCCGCTGTCGCCCGCGCTCAAGTCCAAGGCGTGGCCGTCCCAGCCGCGGCACCAGAAGCTCCAAGTGACTGCCGCCCAGACGCTCATGTCGGGTCTCTCGCTTTTGTACCCGTCGCCGTGGGACCGGACGAGCTTGCTCTTGACGCTGCTTCGGTCGCACGCGCAAGTGACGTTTTCGCCGTCCAGTGCGCGGTTCCTCATGCTCACCAAGCTCCTCCAGCGCATGGCGAGTCCAGGGCCCATGGGCGTCCTTACGCTCTGCCCGGTGCTGCCCGACCGCACGCACAACGCGCATGTGCAGGAGATTCTATCGCATCTCATGGCGTGCGACGGTGCGTTGGCGACGCCTGCGATCGAATGCCTCAAGATGTTTCAGCTCTACATCCTCTCGCAAGCCATTGAGCTCACCAAGAGCAGCGACGACGACGAGAGGCCGCGCCGCGCGCACGACCGCGTCGTCGTTCAAGATGCCGTGCTGCAGTACAGCAACCTCTTTCTAAGCTCGTGCCGCGAACGCCTCGAAGCCCAAGAGCCAGCGCTGACGCAGTCGATGGTCGGCGAGCTCTTGCCGTGGTTTGTCAGCGGTCTCTGCCTCCTCCGGCGCCAAGTGTGGCTTGCACGACCGATGCTGCCCAAGCTCACGCGGCTTTTGCGCGTCCTCGACGTTGTCGCTGGCCAAAGCGACGTGCTGTGCAAGGCCGAGAAGCGGTTTCTCGCGCTTGATAAGCGCTTGCACGCGTATGCGGCGCGCGTCGACGACGTCGGCAAGTGGCAAGTCGATGCGTCGCCGCGCCGCGTCCAAAAGCAGCTCTACAACGTCTTCTCGAAACTCTACACGGGCGAGAAGGACCACTTCGAAGGCCAAATTGGGTTTCAGTTTGAGGCTGTCGCGTCCTTCACCATCGTGGCGCTCGGTCGGTCGGTCAACCCCGCGCGGAACGGCGGCGTCCTCCTCCACGCGCACACGATTCGGCTCTGGGACGAAGCCAGCCAAGCGCTCTTGGCGTCGATCAGCGTCGGCCCCGTCGCCAAGCGCGATGGCCTCGGGTATGTGTACGAGCCGTTGCCGTCGAGCGTCCGGCTCTGTCAAGGCAAGCTGTACCGGCTCACGACGCAAGAGTTTGCCAACGGCGGCGACCCTTGGTACAAGAAGGAGAACCTCCCGGACGAAGAGTACGACGGCAGCTTCATCAAGATTCTGCGCGACTGCTACGCGTCGGGATCGTCGGGATTTCCGAATTCGCAAAACTTGACGGGCGCCGCTTACGGCGTCCCGACGTTCCTTGTCGAAGAAGACAACCCGATGGACACGCTGCCGCCGATCGTCCCGATGGACGGTGTCCTTGGCCTCAAGTTCAACGGCAAGCGCAAGGCGCACTCGATGAGCTTGGGCCACCTCGGGAATGCAGTCACAGTCACGGGCGAGTCCGAGTACTGGCGGTCGTGCTTTGCCACGTGCACGTTTGTCGCCGGTATCCACACGATCGAGTTTGTCGTCAAGAGCAGTCGCGTCGGCGGCGGCGTCTCAGGCCACGTGGTCGTCGGTGTCGAAGCGGTCTCGGACGCGCTTCGACACCCCATCAGCGCCGTCTTTCTCGGCCAAGACGCTGCGTACGCCAGTATCGGCTGGATGCCAGCGATCGGCGCCGTCTGGGTTTACGGGACCCGCCATGCGTACGGGCCGCGCATCACGCTGCACCATGGCGACATTTGCAGTCTCACGATCGACTTTGATGCCAACACATTGGCGTTTGCGTACAATGGCACGTCGCTCGGGTCCGCGCCGCTTGGCGATCTCACGTTTCCAACTGCGTGCTTGCCAGCTGTGTCGGTCTACGGCCTCCACGACGTGGTCGAGATCCGCACCGGTGGTATCGCCAAGTCGACTCTGCAGCTGCCGTGGCTCTTGGATGTTCTCGAGACGACAGCGTCGCTGGCCGGGCGTGTCACGGGCACACTCATCTCGGGCCCACCGGTGGATGGCGTCGAAGAGGAGCTCCAGCCGTGGTTGCAGTCCAAGCTGCTCTCGGGTGGGATTGCCGACTCGTCGTCGTCGACAACGTCCATGAATTGGGCCACGGCCGTCAAGCAAGAGTGGGCCGAGTGCGCCGACCCGTTGTTTGCGCTCGTTGACGAGAAGCGACGGCCGCGCAAAGACTCGATGAAGATGTGCCGGCCGCTCGAGACGAACGACGGTCTCTGGAGCGACGCGGCGTTCACGCGGTCGCTGCCAACGGTGGCGCATGTCATTGTCGGGTGGCTCGAAGACGCGGCGCCGGACGTGTCCATGTGGCGTCGCCAGGAAAAGTACCCGAAAGCCGAGCACTACATGTTTGCTGCGCTCATCAAACACGCGCCGCCACCTCTCGTGCAGGAAGCCAAGGCCGTCGTCGCGGCCTCCGAGACGGTCGCGCGCATCGTGCCGTCGCCCGAGATGCTCGTGCTGTGGCGGAGCATCCTCACGCTGCGCCACTGGCTCATCAAGATGAAGCACGAGTACAAGGCCAAGCTCGGCGCCGGTATTTATTCTTTTTTGAATCAACTTGATAGTATGACATGGTAGAAGAAGACGACAAGCGACTTGGTCGGGTCGAAGCCACGTCGTCCGAGATACCGACCGTACTGTTGCGAGGCGGACGAGGTCGTTCTCAGCTGGGTCGTGCATGGTGTAGGGCCTCGACGCGACGTTCACGCCTCCCAAGCAGTTTGCTACGTTTGTCGACCACGTCATTGACCGCGCGCGCTTCCTCTGCAGCGTCGAGCCGCCGTCCGGCGAGTACACACAATGGGGCCTGAGCTCGCAAGTCGCGCTCTCAAATTTGGCCGAAAAATGGAGTGCGACGCAGACGCCGCCGTCACTGCAGCCCATGGTGGATCGCTGGCGGTCGCTCTCAGACTCGGACTCGCGCAAGTGGTCGGGGCTCGTCCAAGTGCTACGCGCACAGCACAAGTGGCGCACAGAGACTAGAAGCAAGCGGAAACCAAGCGACCCGACGCTGGCCGATGACGCAGCCGACGACGACGACGACCCGGACGACGCGCACGATGAGGCCTACCTCAGCGCGATGGTCAAAGCCTGCGACCTCTACGTCCGGCACGGCGTTGGCGCGCCGCCCGCCATCTTGGATGCGCTTCTCGAACGCCGCTATGCGCGGTCGGAAGCGCGCATCTTTGGCCTTGACGCCATGCGCAGTGTGCTTGGGAGCCTCTCGTTCGACTCGGCGCGCTACGGCGCGCTTCTCTTCCTCCGGCCGGCGCTGCGCGGGTTCACTGACGATGAAAAGCTGGCGCGCGAGACGCACGTCGAGCACTCGGAGCCGTCGCATCCGATCGCGTTCCGACCGACCGTGCGGCACCACTACCTCAAGGGCCTCGAAGGCTGTGTGAGCAAGGTGCTTGACGACGTCCAAGCAAGCTTTGCCGATCTGTACACGCTCTTGGCGTCCATGCTCGCGAAGGCGACGTCGCCACTCTTGCAGCAGAGCCTCATGTGCGCGTGGGCGCTTGACTTTGAGCCCCGCGACCACGAGTTCTTGCTGCGCGCCGACATTATCGCGCATTTGAGCAAGCTCTGGAGCGTGAGCGCGCGCCGGGACGACGCGACCGCCGAGCTCTCGCAGCTGCCGCAGGTCAATACCGAGTGGTACGCACTCTCGGAGAGCTACGTGCGGGACGGCATGTTGGCCACTGGTGACGTCGCCAAGCGCAACATCCTCACTGTGGTCCGGCAAGCGCCCGCCATTGCGCAAGCGCTCTGGCCGCAGAAGTCGGGTAGTCTCAACAGCAGCAAGAGTCTCACGGGCTCGTCGACCGTGTCCATGTACGCGGCCTTCCTTCGCAGCCTCACGACGCGACTCAAGTGGTGCAAGCCGTCCGAGCTCGGGCACAAGGTGCTGCAGCTCAACGTGAGCGACGATGTCGTCAGCACGGTCGACCTCCCCGCGCTACCGCCGTCCCTGCCGTCGTCGTTTTGCTTTGAGCTCTGGATGCTGCCCCACGAACTCTCGGGATACAGCACCTTGCGCAGCGACCACGGGTTCCTCGACGGGTCGGTGCACATTGAGCTCGTCGAGCGGCAGCTGCAAGTCGCCATCGCGGGGGCGGTCCCGCGTGAGATGCTCTTTGCGTTTGAGTTTCACTGCGCGCTGTGGCAGCACGTCGCTGTGAGCTACGACCACGACGCCAAGTCGCTCTCGTTGTACGTGAATGGTCTCTTGGCCGAGAAAAAACACTACATGAAGGCCGCGACCAAGGTCCTGTGGCGCGCCGGTCGGCTCGGGAGCTGGCTGCCCGACCCGACCAACAGTGGCGTTGTCCAGCGCAAGTTCAAAGGCTATTTCTCGCAGTTGCGGCTCTGGCAAGGCGCGCGGTCGCAGACTGAGATCCTCGCCAACTTGCACCGGCGACAGCCCTTTGCAACGCCGCAGCCTCTCTGGAGCTGGCACCTCGACGAAGGCGACGGCGAGCTCTCGCTTGTTGAGACGAGCCATGCGAATCCCGCGGGCTGGAACGCGTTGCTCACCAAGTGCCAGTGGAGCCGCACCAACGTGCCCCTCTGGTCGCACGTGGCTTCGGCGCGCGACTGGCGCACGCTCCGTGACGGCATGACGCGTCTCCAGCGTCACTTTCGGTCGTCGCAATCGTCCAAGTGGGTGCGCCATGTCACATGCGTCCAGACGCAGATCCAGGCTCTCGAGGCCGTGGAAGATCACTTTGTGTTCTCAGACGACGAAGGCGATGCGGGCGCATCGTTGCCGCCGTTGCCGCGCAGCTACGACGAAGCGGTGCTCTCACGGCGGCTGGTGCAAGACGCAGCGTACCTTGCGTTTCAGTACTTGGGCATCGTGGCCATCTCGGGCATCCGCGAGCGCTGTGAAGTTGAAGCCATTCAATCTGCGCTCAGTGCCAAGAAGCGTCGGCAAGAAAAAGCGTCGGTGGTCGCACCGCTTCGGGAAAAGCAGAAGTCCGACTTGAGCGATGCGGCCAAGTCGGCGGCGGCGGCATCGGCGCTCGAGCTGCCGATTGCGCAGCGTCTCTGGTTCTCGATCGAGCTCCACCGCAAGGTGTTTGAGATGGTCGAGAAGGAGCTCAGCGCTGCGACACGCATCTTGCACGACGCCGAGCACCTCATTCGCGCGCAGCAGCCGTCCATGCTGCGCTCGCTCTCAACGCCGATCCCGATCGTGATGGCGGCCAACCTCAACGAGGTGCTCGAGCCGTTGGAGATCGAGAGCCTCGTCTTCTCGCTGCTCCGGTTTCTCTTTTCGCAGAGTCATACGTACCCCGCGATCGAGCACGTGACGAAACCGAGCATGCTTCGGGAGTTTGTGATGCTTCTCCGGCTCGGGTCGCCCCGCGTCCAGCGCATGGTGCAGCTCATTCTTCGGCAAGTGGCGCCGTCCGTGGCACCGAGTCAGATCGGCGCGCTGCTCGGCACAGAGTCGGTGTTCCTCGACACGCTCTTGGACCGCGTCTCGGACTCGATCTGCAGCGGCGTCTCGAGTCTCAACAGTACCATCTCGCAGTCGATGACCGAGTCGCTCTCGAATCCGTTGGGATTCCAAACCGGCCAGATCTACTTGACGCTTGCGTCCGAGGCGGTCGCGCTGCTTCGGCTGCTCCTCAACACGCCCAACTGGCGCACCAAGGTGGCCGATGTCCTCGGGCTCGCGATTCGCAAGGCCGCGCCGATCGTGAGCGCGCTTCCGTCGCTCGAGAGCAACTTACGCGCGCGGACGACGGTGCTACGGGCCCTCGGTGCGCTCTGCGTGCTCGGTGCGCACTCGGACTGCTTCCGCATTGGCGGCAAGGTGCACGTGGTCACCGGTGACACGGCGCCGCCACTGGTCGCTACGCTCATCCACCGCGTGCAAGCCACGGCCCGCGTCGTCTTTGACGAAGACGACAACGTCCAAGACGTGGCGTGGCATGCGGTGACGCCGATCGAAGAGATGCAGCTGGCGCCGTCGGTCGGGCCGACCATTTTTAGCTTGGAGCTCATGCCAATTTTGCTGCAGTTTGCGAGCCTTGACGACGACGCGTCCTTGTGGCGAGCGCAGATCCGGTCGCGCGCGCTCTTGGCGTTGCAGTCGTTCTTGCGCCACTCGACGATGCAGCACGAGGCCGTGACGACGCTCTCGAGTCTCTTGGCGACGGCGCTGACGCCCTTGCATCTCGCACAGTTTGTGAGCGTCGTCGACCTGCAAGAGCGGAGTCGCAGCATCCTCTCGCGCCTCATTGAAGCGTCGACGCCCTTGGGCCCACAGATGTTTCGCGGTGTGCCCGAGCCGGTTGCGCCGGTCGTTGTGGATCCGCCGCCGTCAACGTCAACGTCGTCGTCGTCGCTGGACACGGTGCCACCGACGCGACAGGGCTTTGCCTCGACGCTGGCAGCGATGGGGTTTGAAATGGAACTGTGCTTGGCCGCGCTCGAGCACGCCCGTGACGACCCGAACGCCGCTGTCGAGTGGCTCATGGGCGAGCCCGCGGAACGCTTCCGGCAGCAGCAGCGGCAGCGCGAGGCGCATGCAGCGGCGGCGAGGGCGACCGTTGCCGTGCAGGACGCCTCGCGCGACGAAAAGATACGCGATTTGCAGCTCATTTCGGGCTGTCCGCCACGGCTGATCCTCATGGCGCTCGACCTCTGCGGCCAAGACTCGAACCGCGCCGTCGAGTGGCTCATGGAGCACGGCCGGCGCTTCTCGACGCCGTTGAATCTTCAAACGGACGCGTTTTGCCACGCGTCGGACGCGTCACTTGATGACGCCGCCGCGCTGGAAGTCGCCGAGCAGCCCGACATGCTCCTCCTCGAAGCTACCTCGGGCACGGATGACGCACCGGCGTTGGTCGACACGGGTCTCATGGCGGCGACGCTGGCACCGATTTTGGCGCGGCTGCCGTCGGGGGCAATCGCACCCTTGGACCCCAGTTACCTTCCGACCAACCTCGTCTTGACGGTCGCCGAGACGGTGGGCCCGGTGCCGCGGCTCTCAAGCGCCGGCCGGTCCGGGACGCTCGTGCGCTGCCACCCGTCCCACGGCGTGCTGCTCGCGTTCCTCAACACGGAGAACGGCGCGATGGAAGAGGCGTACGTAGCGCCAACGCACGCAAAACGCTGGATCAAAGTGTTTGACGAACCGCTCGTCGACGTGCAGAGCATCTACGCGGTCGCGCTGCGAACCGAGCAAGCGCTCTCGACGTACTACGCCCGCCACGCGATCGTCGGACTGGTCATGGCCACGTCCGACCCGCTCCAAGTCCTCGCGATGGTCGGTGGCGCCTCGTCGTTTGTCCAGCTGCTCAAACTCGTGGCCGCCGGGTCCTTTGCAGCGCAAGACGTGGGGCACATTGCGCCGCTCAAAGACGCGCTCGAGACCAAGCTCGTGGCGCTCGTCGCGATCGAGAAGAGTCCGGTGACGCCCGTGCTCGTCGCCGAGTGCATTCAACACTTTGTCGATTCGACCAAAGTGGCCCAAGAAGGGTCGCCGACAACGAGCGTCGATGTCGAGTCCTTGCACCCGTACTACCACCGTGCCGAGTACATTGCAGTCGTCCACGGCCCGAGTGCACCGACCGTGCGCGTCATCTTCGACAAGCGGAGCCTCTTGGTGGGCAAGACGACGCTCAGTTTGTACGCTGACGTCGACTGCAAGCAGCAACTCGCAACGTTCTCGGCGACCAAGCCGTTCACGGACGTGTGGGTGCCCCAAGCGACGTTTTGGCTCAAGTTTTCTGCGGCCGAAGAAAACGAGGCAGCGACGAGCTACGGCTTTCGGCTGCAGGTGCAGGCGGTGCCCAGTATTCAATGGCGCAACGAAGCCGACGTGCTCACGCAGCCGTCGCTCGAGTATGCGTGCTGGCTCCTCGAGTTCCTCTTGCAGCGCGTCTCGCCGCCGTCGGTGCACAACGACTGCGTCTACGGCGCGCTGGTGCAGTACCTCCAGTCGCCGCGGGCTCCGAAGAAACACAAGGTCATTCAGCTTCTTTTGCAGCTCCTCGCCAACATCTCGGCGTTCGCTACGCTGCCAGACTTGACGCCGCTTCAGCGCATGGGCCAACTCGCACTGGCGCAAGCGCAGAGTGAGCTCAAGAAGGGCAAGCCGTTTGTGTCGTCGCATCTGTTGCAGCTTCTCGAACTCGCGGTCGTTGTCCAACACGCGAGCGCCGACGTGCCGAGGTTGGTGACGCCGATCGCGCCGCCGTTGCTCGTGCCTTCGGAAGCGCCAAATCTCCTGCTCGTCATCTACGAGACCATGCAGCTGGCCGCGCATCTAGCCCAAGACCCCTCGGCGCCGCTCTCGCAGGACCTCGTCACGCTTCTCTGGCTCGATGTGCACGGTGCGTCGACCGTCGTCGAGGACGCCACGCGCGGCGAGACTGTGTACCCCGGGGCCCACTCGCTTCGGGTGTGCCTCGATGCGCGCTTGACCGAGTACGACGGTCTCGAGATGGCGTCGGCCATCGTGCCCGACGACGGTGTCGACGACGCGGCCATTGTTTGGACACCGATCGTCGTCACCGAGGTGATGGAAATCGCTGGCAACGCCGTCCGGTACACTTATACGCCGCGTGCGACGTCGCCAAGGCTTTCGATGACGATCACGGCGGTGGGTCTGGCTCTGGAACGGCAGCTGGCGCGCTGCAGCCTCCAGTCCCTCGAGGCGAGTCTGGCGGCGTTGCAAGCTATGCGATGGACCAACGCCATGGACGCGCAGCTCGTCGACTGGGTCAATTTGCACATGGAGAACCCGTTGCTCGACGGCAGCGGCCCCGCGACCGACTTGGCGCCGGCCGACATTCGCATCCATCCGACCTTGGACGGGCTTCGGTGCTCGCTGCTTTTGCATCTGCCGCTCTCGACCGTCTGCGTCGCATGTCGATTCAATGACGCTCACGTATTGTTGCTTGTAGATTCAGCTCCGGTACGCACTGCTGCGCTGCTTCAACGCGCGGCTTGCAGCGTGCATGCCACTGCTCGACCTCAGCGACGTCACGTCGTCGTGGTCCATTGCCCACAAGGTACATGACGCGATACCGCAGCGTAGCTCAGGAGCACGTGGTAGCTGCGGTCGCTGAGCCACTGCATCTTTTTCGAAGCCAAGCAAAAGGTCGTCGAGGCCGCGATCGAAGCCACGGGCGTGGCCACCGAGACGACCAACGCCAACGCGACGGCGCGCATCACGCTCGATCGGCTACGCGCGCTCGAGTCCCGCGAAGACCGCGAGGTGGAGCCGTCGGTCTCCGAGTGTTTCTTCGCGCAAGCGTTCCGGCAGCTGCAGAGCGTCGACACGAAAGCCCTTCGGCGCAAAATCGACAGCAAAGGCCGGCTCTTCAGCGTCAAATTCCGCGGCGAGGAGGGCGTCGACTGGGGCGGCGTGTACCGTGAAGGCACCAACTCGATGGTCGACGACCTCTTCGGTGCGCACTTCGCCCTGTTTCTGCTGTGTCCCAACGGCCAGCACAACACTGGTATTCCATCTGCCCGCTTGTTATAGTGGACAATCCAAGTCCATGCTAGTGCTCTCTCATCATATTGTCGTGTGGGCTAGGGCTCAACCGAGGCATGTACCTTCCCAACAGCCGGTGCACGTCGCCGGTAGCGATTCAAATGCTCGAATTCGTTGGCAAATTGCTCGTACGTGCCACCTTGATACGTTGAAAGATTGATACTCATGTGGCGTCGCAGGGCATTTCCCTACGGACCCGCGGCGACTTTCCGTTTGCATTTTGCCCGCTCGTGTGGAAGCACCTCTTGCAGCAGCCGGTGGACCGCGCCGACCTCGAGGGCACGGACGCGCTCCTCGTCCAGATGCTCGATGGGATCCGCGACTGCGAGGCCGACGGGATCACAAACGACGCGCAGTTTCAGACCGCGTTTGCCGACTTGGAGCTGCGCTTTACGACCTTTGGCTCGAACGGGCAGCTCGTCGAGCTCGTCCCGAACGGCGCTTCGCTTGCCGTGACCTTTGCCAACCGAAGCGAGTACTGCCGGCTCGTGGAAAGCTACCGCTTGCACGAAGTCGACGTTCAATGCAACGCGATGCGGCGAGGGCTCGCAGCGCTCTTCCCGCTGCGGGTATTGACGCTTCTCACGTGGCAAGAGATGGAGATGCTGACGTGCGGCAGCCCAAAGATCGACATTGCGATCTGGCGCCAGCACACGCGCTACGATGGCTACACGGAGCACGACGAGACAGTCCAGCTCTTCTGGGACGTCATGGCGTCCTTCTCGGACGAGCAGCGCTCCGACTTTGTGCGCTTTGCGTGGGGCCGGTCGCGCCTTCCCCGGGGCAAGTGGCCGCAGCCGTTCAAGCTCACGAAAAAGGGCGGGCGCGACGCCGCGTTGAGCTTGCCAGTCGCCCACACGTGCTTCTTCTCGGTCGAGCTGCCGCCGTATACGACCAAGCAAAAGATGCACGAGATGCTGCTGGCGACCATCAACTTTGGCCTCGGCGGTATCCTTATCGCGTAGCCTAACACGACGATAAGACTAGCATGACTGTTGCACCGCAGCGCGTCGGAGGAGGAGGAAGCGTCGGCAAAGATTTCTCGAAGAACTAAGATCGGCGCCGCTTGGCAAGATCGCGCCTATTGTGTGATTGCACGCGTCACGCAGAAGTAGCTTGATGAGCAAGCGGCGACGGGAGGCGGTGACGCGCGGGCGCGCCAAGCGTGTCTGCCTGGCCGATCTCGACACGACACTGTCGGCCACAGCAAGAGAGCCGCTGGTCTCGCCGCGACGCCGGAGCGTCGACCACGCGAAGAATGAGACGCGTGTTGTCGCACCGCTTCGAACGCCGTGGGCCGCGTACCTTGAGCAATCGACCGAGGTGGCGCTGATGACGTCGCCACCGGCAGGTGTGACCTCGAAACGAGCCGCCGCGACGGCATTATCGTCTCCTACCAGCTATGTTGAAGCACCACGAGCGGTGCGCGAGCGCAGTTTTGACGAAGCGCAGCCACCGACGTCTCTGTTCGACCAAACGGGCTTGCCGGCGCGTCGACAGAGCGCACACGTAGCATCGACGCCGCCGACGCATGGCGCGTGGACGCCACACGTCACGCCCGAGATGCTGCGCAAGCGCTCGTCCTCGAACGACCCAGCACTCGAAGCCACGCGGCTGGACTTTCTCGGTGCGGCCTGTACGGTCTGTGTCTCGGTTGCCATCGTATGCTAGACTGTGACGACAGCGATATTGGCCTCTCTCCACCAGATGACGAGTACCTGCCACAAGGGACGTCCGACGATCGCCAGCAGCAGCAGTATGCGGTCTAGTTGCGCTTCGTAAGCTCATGCAGGTGCGGTGTAGGGCGTCGGCATGCGCTCTTGACGTGCGACCAAGGGCTCCCGACGAACTGTTTGTGAGCGTTCTGCCAACCGAGGTATTGCGACCGCGAGACGTATCGAGTCGAGTGGCTTTGGTGACCGCATCGCCCGCCACCACCGAGCGCAGTCGCCGGCTTCAACCTGCCATCTCCACGTCAAAGTCTTCGTCCTTGATAAAAGCTCCAAGTGGGAACCAAATCCGTCGCAGCAGCCTGCCATCGACAGAGCAGAAGAGGAAGAAGAAGAAGAAGACGGTGACATTTGCCGAGGGCCAGCGCCCCGGCGACTGGCGGGAGCCCGCTGATCGAACTAGTCTTGAAGACAGCGCTCTTGACAAGCACGAGACGACGAAGGTCCTCGGCGCAGCGCCCTACGGCAGCTGCGAGGCTTCGGACGACCAGATACGCACGACGGACGCCACGCCTCGTTGCATGCCCGAGCCGGGCACCGATTTGCGACCAAACGTACAGGGAGACGTCCAGGAAAAGCTGCTGTTACATGCAACGTCGCCAGTCGACGGCTGCCGTGAAATGCCACCGCCGACTCTACTGATCGTCCCTCGTCCGCTGCGGCCAGCGACCTGCGAGGTAGCGCGAGTCCAAGCTGCAGTGCCTGTGTGGCAGACGACCATGGACGAGGTCTTTGTCACCAACAACACAGACCCGGTGACGCGCGGCTCGACGAAGCGTGCGACGACAGCGGTGCCAACAAGTCGGCACTTGGCGTTGTCGCGCGAGATGGCGTCGAGTGGCAACCAGCGCGCAACGGCGCTTGGCGCACTCGTCAAAGACTCGTTCGACGTGAGCAACCACTAACAAGTCGCAGTGAAGTGTGGTTCATCCACAGTTAGCTTTGTATTTGGCTACGCTGAATGCGTGGGAGTTGGCACCAGCACTTGGTCGTTGGGAGTGAGCTGCGTACGGAGAGATGCGATACAACGACAAAAGCACACTATTGTCCAATGTATGTATGTATGCGATCGTGTACAGGGACGCTGCGACAGGTGCATTCTTGGAGTGTACTGCATCGTGCGCGGGACCTGTACAGCGTTCCTGGCCGCACGTTCCAATGATTGCGTCAACATATGTTTTAGGCGGCATATGATTGGTCGATGAAACGGCCAATGCGATCACGTCACCGACGACCTGACGATCGCGATCAAACAGCGGACAACGCAACCGCCAACATCCGAGACGTGACCGCAGAAAACGTACGAGTCTTATTTTCTGCTCCTTGTGCTCGTACTCTTAAATTGGCCATGACCGCGTCGAGTCGTAGTCTTCTCTCGCTGGCCCACGCCGTCGCCAGCCACCACGACGACCGCGATGGCGGATGGGCAACCGACAACGACGTGGTGTCGCCAGGTCGCGCGACGTTTCTATTCGACTCGTTTTGCCAGAGCCATGGCATCACGCAAGACGTGATTCTGAGCAGCCAGCGCAACCAGGACCCGACGAGCACGCAGCAGATCATTTCGACGGTGTTTACGAAGGAGAACATCCAGGCGCTTGGCTTCCGCAACCTCATCAAGCAGATCCGAGCCAAGCTTTGCCAGACGTCGCAAGTGCCAACGGCCGAGATCCGCCTCCGCGGCGTGAGCTACACGGCCAAGGTCAAGCCATCGGACTCGAGTGTGCAGACGCTCGCGTCGTCCTTCTCGCCGCCGTCGTTATCTTGCACGACGATCCAGACACGGGTCATTCTCAACAACATTGATGCGCATCTCAAGCCCGGGTCCATGACACTGGTATCCAAATCTGAAAACATTTTGAGTAGCGTTCTCAATGTTGGTAGATTCTGGGGCCACCGGGCTGCGGCAAGACGTCGCTGCTCAAGCTCATTGCGGGTCTCACCAAGCCGGGATCGAACGAGGCGCTCACGGGCACTATCACGTACAACGGGTGCACGCCCGACCAAGTCGACCTCGCGTCGCTCACGACGTACGTGCAGCAGCAAGACCACCACTACCCGATGCTCACGGTCAAGGAGACGCTCGATTTTGCGCACAAGTGCCTCGTGGGCACGGTCGACGTCGACGACCCGCTCGCGGCGAACGAAGAGCACATGGTTGACATCCTCATCTCGGTGTTTGGCTTGACCGAGTGCGCCGACACGCCACTTGGTGACGACATGATCCGCGGCGTCTCGGGCGGTCAGAAGCGCCGCGTGACGGTTGCCGAGATGCTTACCGGTCGTGCGCCGACGCTGCTCATTGACGAGTTCTCCAACGGCCTCGACGCCTCGACGACGTTCGACATTGCCAGGGCCATTCGCACGATGGCCGAGCTGCTCGAGAAGACGGTGGTCATGTCGATGTTGCAGCCGCCGCCCGAAGTCTACGATCTCTTTGACGACATCATTGTGCTCGACAAGGGCGAGATGATCTACAACGGCCCGCGCACCGAGTTACCTGCGTACTTTGAAAGTTTGGGCTATGTCTGCCCGGCCCGCAAGGACATTGCCGATTTTCTCCAAGAGGTCACGACGCCGCTGGGTGTGCGCTTTGCAACTACGAGCTGCCCCGTGGCAAGTCGCCCCACGCAGCGCAGTCAGTTTGCCGCGCGCTTCCGTGAGAGCACCGCGCACGCCGCCCTTCGGCGCCAGCTCGCGGCCACCAATAAGCTCGAGTGGACGTTTTCGTCCAAGCCTGTGACGCAGCACAGTAGACTGAGCTACGGCAGGAGCTTCGGTGTCGTCTTTGGCCGGACGCTCAAGGCATCGATCGATCCGCGACAAGAAGTTCAACAAGTCGCGCTTTGCCCAGGCGCTGGTCATGGGTTCGATCATCGGCACGGTCTTCCTCGACATTGGTCGAAAAGCTACGACGGCGTCCGAAGAAGCTGCGCTCGTGCCGATCAAGATGTCGCTCTTCTTCCTCGCGCTGCTCTTCCAAGCGCTGGCGACGCTCACGTCGATCGAGTCGGGTATCTCACGTCGCCATGTGCTCTACAAGCAGTCGGCCTTTCACTTCTTCCCGATTTCGACGTATGCGATTTCCGAGGCGCTCCTCGAGTGGCTCTGGACCTTGCCCCAAGCACTCGCCTTTTGCTCGCCGCTCTACTTTGGTGTGGGTCTCCACGGCAACTTTGGCGTCTTTGTCGGGCTTGTGTACTTGACGTCGCTCGTGTACACGCAGTTCTTTAAGCTGTGGACTGCGATCTCGCCCGACGCCGTTCTCGCCAAGGTGCTCTCAATGTTTGCCATGTGCTTGCACATGGTCTCGTCCGGGTACATCATGCCGGGGCCGTCGATCTCCGCCGGGTGGCAGTGGCTCTATTGGTGCAACCCCATGGCGTGGGCGCTCCGGGCCGCGGTCCAAAACGAGTTTCTGACGTCGACACCGCTCTACGACACGCCTGTGCAAAAGGTCGGCCGCGTCGGCAACCTCGCTCTCGACGCCTTTGGCTTCTCGATCAACGACGACTACATTTGGTCGAGCGTCCTCTTCCTTCTCGGGTTTTACGTCGTCGAGCTCGCGCTCACGACCGTGCTCTACACGTACGTGCGCATTCGCCCGGCGCACGCGGGGCACACGGACGACGCGATGAGCAACAGCGTCGCTGCGCGTAGTCTCTCGTTTGACTTGAGCGAGATGGCACTGGCGACGCCGACGACCCCCGACGCGACGTTCATTGCTGTGCTCGATGCGAGTGACGAGAGTGGGCTCAACAGCCTCGCGTTTTCGCCTGTGACGCTCGCCTTCCGCGACCTCTCGTACACGATCCAAGTCGGCGCCAAGAAGCAAAAGAGTAGCCGCCAGCTGCTCCAGGGCATCCACGGCTGCTTTGAGCCCGGGACGCTCACGGCGCTCATGGGCTCGACGGGGGCCGGCAAGACAACGCTCATGGACGTCATCGCCGGGCGCAAGACGGCCGGTGTCATTGCCGGCGACCTGTATGTCAACGGCCACCCGATGGACCGCACGACGTTCAATATCCTCATGGGCTACTGCGAGCAGTTTGATATCTACGAGGAGACGTCGACGGTCGTCGAGGCGTTCCTTTTTTGCGCGGCGTTGCGGCTGCCGTCGTCGACGTCTGCGGGCGAGCGCGCGGGCTTTGTGCGCGATGTTTTGGTCGTGCTCGAGCTCCAGGCGCGCGCCAACGCGCAGCTCTTTGCCTTGTCGCTGGGCGAGCGCAAGCGCGTCACGATTGGTGTCGAGCTCCTCTCGAACCCGAGCATTCTCTTTCTGGACGAGCCGACGACCGGTCTCGACTCGCGCGCCGCCACGATCGTCATGGAGTGCGTCAAGCGCATTGCGCAGTCGGGTCGCACGGTCGTGTGCACAATCCACCAGCCGTCGACCGTCCTTTTCGAGCTCTTTGACAAGCTGCTGCTGCTCCAGTCGGGCGGCCA